AACATCAGACTTTGGCTTGGGTGATCTCACAGTCCGTGGGTTCAAGCCCCGCATCAGGCTCTGTGCTGACAGTTCAGAGCCTGGGGCCTCTTTCGGATTCTGTCTCTCCCTCTCTCTTTCCCCCTCCCCTGCCTGTGCTCTGTCTCTCTCTCTGTCTCTCTCTGTCTCCCTCAGAAATAAACAGTAAGAAAAACATGATATTGAAAAATAAGCCCATACCACCACATTTATTTCAAGATGTTTATGTCTTGATTCTCAGTTATGCCAGGACAGAAAGACAAGTCCATTTCACTCACTATTGTATACACTAAAATCTTAAGTAAAATTTAGGCACACAGAATGTACCAACAGGAAATCATTTTATTCACCCTAATCAAGGCCTGAACCAAGGGCTGTTAGGCTGGTACCCATCCATGCATCTACCAATCCATCCTATTTACCCATCTACCTATGCATCTATTTATCTACCTGCCACCCACCGACATCTCCATTCATCCACCTGACAACTGGCCCAGCTCTCTGTCAGTCGCTGTGCTCCCTAGGTCCCCTCCCCAGGCTGAGCATGAACACCCAGTTGCCATTTGCTAAGCAGATGTCCTGGGGTAGGCTTGTATTCCAAGGACAGTCTCATAATGAGCATCAAGGCCCAAGGGAGAAACGAGCCTGGCTTGTCTGAGGGACAGGAAGGTGGCAATGAGTCGTGAGCCTGGATGGGGAAGGAGAGTGACAGAGGATGCCCCGAAAAACAGAGGGGCACACAGGACTTTCCAGGTCACAGTCAGGAGTTTGCATTTCATTCCAATGCAACCAGAAGCCATCGAATGGTTTGGGAATGGGGACAGCTGTAACCTAGTTTATCTCCCAAAACCAGTGAGGAGGCAGCTGCCACGGCCCAGGCTGGAGATGAGGAGAACTCAGGCAAAGGTGAGAGTGTGATCCCGGAGAGCAGCGTGAGGGAGGTGGCTCAGATCCGAGCCTTGGCAAGGAGGGTGCCAAGCGGCCCAAACAGGATTTTGACCTCCACTCTGTCCAGAGGTGCTACCAGCCAGCCAGGCGAGGAGACCACTCCATGGGAACTGGGAAAGGGGTGCAGACATACCCACCAAGGCAGTGTCAGTCACCACCTCTGCGGGGAATGCCCCTGTGTGGCCACAGACTTGGAAGGTCCACTCTTCAAAGTGGAATCAATGGACCAGAAGGTGCCTGCAGCAGCAAGCCTTCAGTTACATGCCACCAAAAAGTCCTCCAGGGAGGTTCCCCAGATTCCCCTCTCGTCACCGGCCACACTCAAGGACGGCAGCCTCCCTCGTCCTTTTATTTTTAATGATCCCATTAAGCATCCGACTCTTGAATTCAGCTCTGGTCATGATCTCCTGGATCGTGAGTTCGAGGTCCACATCAGGCTCTGCACTGATGTTTCGGAGGGCTTTTGGCCTCCGGAAGAGTGAGAAAACAAATTCGTTTTGTTGATGCCACCCAGTCTCTGGTATTCTGTTAGGACACCCTGAACAAGCTGCTGCACCCAACTTACAAGGGAGCCCAAGTGAGTGGGGGAGCGTATTTCCAGGAAGCAGGCCTCTGCTGGTCATAATGACTGAGCTTGGAGAACTGGCCCAAACCCTCAGAGAACAGTAGAAGCTGGGAGGCTAAGGGTCCGGAGTGGGTAGGGGAGGCCGCCCACCACTGGGAAAGCTGATACTAAGCACATGCGATTGGATACTAAGTACAGCAATTAGATACTAAGTACATGCGATTGGATACTAAGTACAGCAATTAGATACAAGCCCTGGACTTGCTCTCAGGGCTCCCGGTTTATTTCAGTTCCAAGCCCACCTGTCTTCCCCAGGACTCGGCAGGAAGTCACCTCAGTCTCTTTCCTCCAGGGTTCTGAAGTACCACATCAGTTTTTACAAAAATTCTAACCCTCTGTCATCACTTCAGTGGTTTAGTACTCGTGTCTGTCCTTCCCTCCTACACTGTGAGGTCCTTTGGGGGCAGAACCTTTGTCCTATTTATCTTTATGTAGAACAGAATCTTGAAACTCACAAAAATGCTCTCTATGTGGTTTGTGAAAACAAGTTACTCATATCTTGATGCTCTACTGTTATCTCAACAGAATACAACGAAAACCATTCATTATCCTGTGCTGTTATCAGATCAGTCTTTTTTTTTTTTTCTTTTTGGTTTAAGATTTTTCTAAGTAATCTCTACACCCAGTGTGTGGCTCGAACTCACAACCCCGAGATCAAGAGTCTCTTGCCCTACTGACTGAGCCAGCCAGGTGCCCCAGTAATTCATATTTTTTATAGACACACTTACATTGTTTTACATTTTAGCAGGGTACCTGGGTGGCTTAATTGGTTAAGTGTTCGACTTCCGTTCAGGTCACGATCTCATGGTTTGTGGGCTCACGCCCTGTGTTGGGCTTTGTGCTGACAGCTCAGAGCCTGGAGCCTGCTTTGGATTCTGTCTTCCTCTCTCTCTGCCCCTTTCCCACTCGCGCTCTGTCTGTTTCTCAAAAATAGATAAAACATTAAAAAACTAAAAAAAAATTATCCAAAACATTAGGCATCTTTTAAATCTTTGTATTACAGGGTGGCACCTGTGTGGCTCAGTCGGTTAAGCTTTGGACTCATGGTCAAGATCTTGTGGTTTGTGAGTTCGAGCCCCGCATTGGGCTCTGTGCTGGCAGCTCAGAGCCTGGAGCCTGCTTCCGATTCTTTGTCTCCCTCTCCCCCATTCACCCTCTGTCTCTCTCAAAAATAAGTAAATATTAATCTTTGTATTACAGGATTTTGTTTTCTGTGAGCAAAAGCCAGTCCTTTACCTTAATTTTCATTCCTTATTCCCAGATTTAATGCTTTAAGTACACGATTTCTTACTGATACTTCAGAAAACAAACATTCTCTGAAAAAAGCTGAGAATGGCTTTCCAAGGCTCCTATTCTGGAATTTCAGTGAGTCCTGCCACCCTTCGAGAGTGCACACCATTCTGAAAATTGCTGGGTCTGTAGCTCAAAAGCAGAAAGCTTCTGGAACTAATTTCTTCGCAGTGGTTAGCAGTCTGCTAGAAGGCCGGGCGTGATAAATGAAGCATGTGGTCCCGCCTCCTGTTCCTCTTGACCCTTTCACTGCTGAGAGCGCCATGTGCAACACACGCACACGCACACACTGTACATCAGAGCTCTTCCTCAGGACTCTGGTCACCGCAGAGGCGCGAACTCCCAGCAGCACGCGGGCCCTGGGCAGCGCCAGTGAGGTGCAGGGGCCGGGGATGAAACCGGGGCGCAGTGCGGGGCGCAGCCAGCGCTCTCACAACTGCAGCCGGGCACGTGACTTCCTCAGGATCTAGAGCAAGAAAGCTGTGATTGTGTGTCTCAGACACGGCTCGGTTCCGTGGGCGTCGCCTTCACCGGCCGTTCCTTGCAGCCCAGGGATGCCTGCTGGCAGCCACGCAGGCTGTTAAGTACCGGGGCTTCCTCCACGAACAACCACTCGTGTCCCCTCAGGGCCACGCAGAGACTGCATACTGTCCTCCAAGGCAAACAGCACTCGAGCTTAAAGCCAGATGCAATAAAACCCCAGGATAGAAGGCTCTCAGAAGCAAACATTTAAACTGGTTATTTCCGCAACAGAACCCTGAATTTTGAGGCTGAGTGTTTAAATTTGAATATCACACCAATCACCAGAGATCCTCAAAGCAATAGGGAGATCTGCCTTCAGCGACCCAATTGTGTACATTTATTTTCATGCCTCTATCAGCCTCCTTTATAAAAAAAAAAAAAAAGTTTTATTTATTTTTGAGAGTGTGAGCAGGGGACGGGCAGAGAGAGAGGGACACGGGGTCTTAAGTGGGCTCTGAGCTGACAGCGGCAAGCCTGATGCGGGGATTGAACTCACAGACCACGAGATCGTGACCCGAGCTAAAGGTGGACGCTCAGCCGACTGAGCCACCCAGGCGCCCTATCAGCATTCTTTTTTTTTTTTTTTTTTTTTTTTTTTTTATTTCTAGGAGAGAGAGAGAGACAGCGTGAGCAGGGGAGGGTCAGAGAGAGAGGGAGTCAACAGACTGAAACAGGCTCCAGGCTCTGAGCTGGCAGTCAGCACAGAGCCCGACGCGGGGCCCGAACCCACGAACCGGGAGATCATGACCTAAGCGAAAGTCGGACGCTTAACCGACTAAGCCACCCAGGCGCCCCCCTATCAGCATTCTTAAAATAAGCTGATACCACAGGTCCTACAGTAATCTGCGCTTCCATCTCCCTCCGGCCTCGTGCATATCAAGGGCAAGATGACACTGTTTATTTATTCACTTACATAATCAATCTAAATTCCATCCTGACTACACTGAAACAGCTACCCTGGCCACATTTTAGAACAATGCACACAACACGGTAATGACACTAGACTACGGTCCACAATTCTTTCAGATGTTCTAAGCCTCTTGAGGAGCCAACGGACGTAATTTCTAATTTCGAGCCCGAAATAAGCCCAGTTTACAAAGGCTGCCCCCATTCCCTTCTGACAATCCTTCCAGGCAACTCCAGTTTGGAGACCATGCCCCGGCAGCCCAGCTGCGTACTTAGACCATTAAAGCATCCCTTCAATCGAGCATTCTGGATAAAGCATTTCATTCAAGCGCCATCACACTGGATTCCTCATTTTGTCAACGGAAAGAACCGTACTGTACAGAAAACACAGCAGCCATTTTCAGAACCAGAAAAAAAAAAGCCACGATGGCACTGGAAGGCGTCCCCGCCCTGGAGATGCCCGGCTGGCAGCGGCGCGGGGCTCCAGGCTCTGCTCGGAACGCAGCTGTAGCGGGGCCGCCGGGGATGGAAACCACACCAGTTAGCAGCCACCCTGGTTTGGCAAAACAAAACAGAAACAAAACAAAACCAAACCCAGCCGCTCAAACACGTGACCCAAGCATCCACCCACCATCAAGAAGGCCACCTCCAAGATGTCTTCTCAGCACCCCCAACTCCCGAATTCACCTACCTCGGACTAGGGCGTCCCTCCTCGGCCCAGACGGTGGAGGACGGCTCTCTGTGCGCACCAGCGTCCCCCGCTGGCTGTCGTGTTCCGATGGCAGCTTCCTGCCAAGAGCAGCACAGCGAGACACCAAGTCATCAAGCCGCCCTCTTCAAGACGTCTATGATTATGAACCCCCTCATTGTGGGTTCGTCCTGTGAGCCTGTACCGCAGAGGCGATGACGTGACCTGGTGCCCTGTGCTGACACTTGGCCACGGGGCTCACGAGCCCCACTCTCCAAACTGTGGGTTTTTCATGTTTGTTTATTTTTGCGAGAGAGAAAGAGAGAGCTGAGGAGGGACTGAGAGAGAGGGAGAGAGAGGATCCGAAGCAGGCTCTGCACCGGCAGCACAGAGCCCGACGCGGCGCTCGAACCCAGGAACCGTGAGATCATGACCCGAGCCAAAGTCCGACGCTTAGCCGACTGGGCCAGCCAGGCGCCCCTCTCCACACTGGTTTATTGAAACCGATGGACTAGAGAGAGAGCAGAAGTCCGCTTGGGTTCTGGGCAGGGGGCAGAACTGCTTTGTGAGATCCGTAGAAGCATGTGACGCTACAGACCAAACAATCCGAACCGAAAAATCAGCTCCGATACCACTGGTTACAACTCACTGCAGCGAAGCCTCCAGCCCTGGGACATGTCTGGGATTCTCGTCTCCTGACTGAGCAGGTGCGGAATTCTCAGAGGACACGCTGTGTGGTCGGTCTTCAAGGTAGGGCACGGCCATGACAGAAACCCATGCTTGTGGCATCTACACGCCCTTCAGCGCCAGGATGCCACCGAGGAACAGGCAGCTCTGTTTACATGCACGTACTGAATACTGTGTACGTTGTTTGAAATGCTTATGTATTTACTTTGAGTGAGACAGAGCACGAGTGGGGGAGAAGGAGACACAGATTCGCAAGCAGGCTCCGTGCTGTCAGCTCGGAGCCCGACATCAGGCTCAAACCCACAGACTGTGAGATCAGGACCTGAACCGAAATCAAGAGACGAACGCTTGGGGCTCCTGGGTGGCTCAGTAGGTTAAGCGTCTGACTTTGGCTCAGGTCATGGTCTCACCAGCCTTGAGTTTTTTCTTTTTTTTTTATAGTGTATTGCCAAGTTGGTTTCCATATAATACCCAGTGTTCATCCCCACAAGTGCCCTCCCATGTCCCCCCCCCCCCCCCCCCCACCCTTCGGCCCTCAGTTTGTTCTCAGCATTCAAGAGTCTCTCACGGTTTGCTTCCCTCCCTCTCCCCTACTATTTTTCCCCTTCTTCTCCCCTACGGTCCTCCGTTAAGTTTCTCCTGTTCCACTTACATCATACACTATCTTAGCCATTTACATAAAGTACGTCTTCATTTCAGAGGGGAACTTGCCGCTTTCTAGGGTCCCCCCCAAATTCTTCGCCTGGTGGTAAGGTTGGGCCAAGCTAATCACGGGAAAGAGAGCTGAAGCAAGCGAGGTGGGGAAGCTGGGGGCCGGACACGCATGCCGACGCAGAGTCAAACTCATGGATGTAGGTTTGGTCCCCAGGTACCTTTCACACCAGTCCAGAGAGAAAAGCCGGTGCACAGAAACGCTCAACCGACCGGACACAAGTGACACGGACGCTGGCACTTATCTTTCCCGGGGCAGCTCTCCCTTGGCTGAGGCACAGACCTTACCTGTTTGTAGAAGTCTGTGGACGGCGAGGAGCGCGACCTTCCATGCACGCACGGCGGCCTCTCCTGTTGATCCAGACCTGCGTCCAAGATGTCATCCGCTGAGTGATACCGCCCAGAACGCCTGGCCTCTAGAGCTTTCCTCTGCTCCCTCCAAGAGGCTTGATACTCGGCAAAGGTTCCAAGTCTCTGAGGTGGTTCTGGCTTTCCCGTGCTCGCCGCTCTTCCGTGACCGCTGGCGTTCTCTCCAAGGGAGGTCGTGTGGGCCCTGTCCTGGACCCAAGGCTCTGCACCCTCACACCCGTGGCCCGCCGTCCGGGGCCGCTCCAGCCTCTCTTTCCGGAGCGCGCAGAGCGCTTGCCTCTGCCCAGGTCTCTGGGGGACGGGTCTGCCGCTTTCCTCAAAAAACTTGCACCTGTCGGCGAACGTGCCCACGGTGTCCTCGGACGCCCCGGGGTGCTGGTCGCGGCGATCAGGGCCTGCGAGCCCCACCTCGTTCATTTTCTCGGGTTCGGAGTACGATTTCAGCTTCTGCTGCACCGTGAACCGTTTCCGGCCCCCGATGCGCGGCACGAGCAGCAGGGCCCCTCCCGGCGGGGGCGGCTGGGGCAGCCCCCCCTCCCAGAAGTGGGGTGCGGCGGCCTGATGCGCACTGTGCTCCTCGGCCCCCGGATGGGCGACGTGCTCCTCCGCCCGCCGCTCTGCCGGCGCCGCGAAACGATCGGCCGGGCCGGGCTCCAAGTCACGGCGCTTAAAGGACGTGGCCCTCAGGACCCGGGCCTGGGCCTCCTTCAGGTGGTCTTTATAGGTGCCCGGGAAGGGCCCTTCCGGGGGGGCGCCGGGGCCGGCCTCCCGCACCTCGTCGCCGCCTCCAGGCAGCGCCGCCGTGCTTCTGCTCTTCTGCAGGTTGGCGCGGCGCATCTGGACCTCGTTCCTCAGGGTGGTGGCGAAGCGGTCGCTTCTCCGTGTGGCCCTGCCCGCCTGGCCGTCGAACGGGGGCGGCCTTTCCGCAGCGGCCGCCTGGCCGTCGTCGGGCCGGCGCGCCCCCTCCCGGGCCAGCGAGAGCGGCGGCGGCGCCTTGCGCGGGGAGCCGTCTCCCTGGGCGCGCGCGAGGCCGTCGGCCGCTCCCTTGCCACCGGCTCCCTGGGGCTCCTCGCCTCCCGCGGGGCGGCCCTCGGCCGCGCGGTCTGTCTCACGGGGCTCCGCGGCCGCCTCCTGCTGGCGGAGGTGACTGCGGGGCCTGGGGCCCGTCGGGGGCGCGGGGGGGAATTCGCGGGCGCCCGCGGCCGCGTCGGGACGCCAGGACTCCTCGCGGGGCTGTGCCGCCTGGGCGCTTCCCTGCGGGCACTGTCTGCTGGTCACACAGTGGTAGCGGCTCTGCCCACCACTGTCCCCCTTCGGCTCGGTCGCACCGGGCCACCTGACTGGAGTGGGGCCGTCGTCCTGGAGACGGTCTCCGGAAGGTTCCTGAGGGCTGCCAGGGACGGCCACAAGGTGCTGCTCCCTCAGCGACGTGGCGGCCCTGGGGCCGTGGTGACAGAAGGGACTCCCGTCACTGTACTGGCGCGGGTGCAGGCAGCCACAGGAAGCCTGCGGGAACCGCACGTCCGTGCTGGACAGAGACGCATGCAGCCGGCCAGGGGCCCCCGGGGGGCTGCCCGGCCTGTGGTCACAGGTGGGCACCGAGCAGTCCCGGGGCACCTGGGGCGCACAGCCCGAGCTCCTGGCTCCCTTCCCGCTGCCGGCCCACGGCGGCTGCCAGTGCTGGTCGGCGGGCTCTGGCCTCCAGTCAATGTGGGGCTGCGCCCCGGGCAGGCCTGGAAAGTGCTGCCCGCTGGCCCCCTCTGACAGCGCAGGGCCCTGGGCCTTGTCGTGGCTCTTGGTGGCGGCGAAGCTGTCACTGCGGAGAGGGGGAGGCGGCGGCGGAGGGGACGAAGGTGCTCTTTTCTTATCGGGCACATACCAGACCGGCCCAAAATTCGTTCTGCCGGCAGTGGCCGGCCTGGCCTCAGAACTGTCCTCTGGCCTGGGGCTTTTGCTGCTGTCGCGAGGGGCCTGGGGCGGGAAGGACCCGAGCCTCTCCTGCAGGCCCTGAGGGTCACTGGCGGCCTGGCCCTGCCGGCCGCCCGCCCCGGAGGCCTCCCACAGGGCCACTTTGTAGACGATGTTCTCTGCAGAGGACGCGTCAGCCCTGGGCAGGCTGTGCTCGGGCGTGCTGGCGCCGGTGCAGAGCGAGCCGTAGGCCGAGTCCCGCTTGCTCTGGCCGCCCAGGCGCTCGATGCTGCCGTTGGACCTGGCGGCGGAGAGGCGTCCGGAGGGGGAGGGCTGGGGCGGCTGGTCCAGGCTGTCCACGCTCCCCAGGGAGCTGTACTGGTCAGAGGACCGCTGCAGGTTCGTGGGCTCCCACGCGCCCGACAGGTCATGTGAGGAAGAACTGGGAAGGGAGAACCAGAGAGGAGAGACAGCTTTAGAATCGAGTCACAGTGCAGGGGGGAATGAGGAGAGCAGGGTCACGCTCGCAGCGTGGAAACGTCTAGATGCCGGGGCACCTGGGTGGCTCAGGGGGTTAAACGTCCGACTTTGGCTCAGGTCATGACCTCACGGTTCAGGAGTTCAAGCCCCACGTCAGGCTCTGTGCTGACAGCTGAGAGCCTGAAGCCTACTGTGGATTCTGTGCCTCCCTGTCGGTCTCTGACCCCCTCCTGCTCGTGCACTCTCTCAAAAATAAACATTTAAAAAATAAAGAAATATAAAGAAATGTCTAGATGCGTCACACGACCTGAAATGCAGCCTTAGCACACCCTTTTGTTTTATAAGTTTTTTAAAAAATTTGTTTTGAGAGAGAGAGAGAGAATGCAAGTGCCTGAGTAGTGGAGGGTCAGAGAGAGAGGTGAGAGAGGATACCGATCAGTGCGGAGCCTGATGGAGGGCTTGAACTCACACACCATGAGATTATGGCCTTAGCCGAAATCAAGAGTCAGATGCTTAATCGGCTGAGAAACCCAGGTGCACTTTCAGCACGGCATCTTAAAGAGCAACTCCGGAGGGCAGGCTGAAAGGACCCAGGCTGGCCCATGTGATGATGCTCTTTCCCCAAACAAACGCCTTCATGTGCTAGATGTACACTTTTCTTGTCAATGCCCACAGGCTGGCCAAAGTCCACAGCGATCACCAGGAAGCAATGTCTATGTGACGGCCTACAGCAATGCCTACGTGACTTTTATTCTCTATCACTAAGTATGGCAGTAGGCAAACTACAGACTGTGAGAACAGGCTTTGGATAGTTAAATGACTGGGGGGAGGGCATGGATCAAAAGACTATTCTTGGGGCGCCTGGGTGGCTCAGTTGGTTGGGCGTCCGACTTCAGGTCATGACCTCATGGTCCATGAGTTCAAGTCCCATGTTGTGCTGTGCTGACAGCTCAGAGCCTAGAGCCTGCTTCGGATTCTGTGTCTCCCTCTCTGTCTGTCCCTCCTCTTCTCACACTCTGTCTCTGTTAAAAATAAATTAATGTCAACAAACTATTAAAAAAAAAACTATCTGGCGAACCGTGGAAATGATAGGAAATTCACATGTCAGCACCCACAGATAAACTGTGACTGGAACAGAATCGTGGCCATTTGTTCACCTCTGAGCTACAGTGGCAGAGCTGGCCTCACTGCTGCCCCCTACCCTTCCTGCTTGAGGACCCAGCTCCCTGTATTTGGGCCTCTTCTCTGCTGCCAGTCACTGCCTCAGGGATCTTACTGTGTTTTGTGCCTTCATTATGCTGGGGTTCCTGAAGGGCCATCACAACACCAGAAGCTTCCCTGAGCCCCAGACTCCTGGGTCAACTGTGCAGTATTTACTGAAAACAATCTGTGCGTAAGTGGACCCAGTGGTTCAAGAGTCAGCAGTATTCATTCAATGCCTGTCTTGTGCGTGGTGGCGCGCCCGCGGGGGCACAGACGGGACGGCCAGAGGGGAGCGATGTAGTCGGCGGGCAGGACCCCAGCAGTAGGGATGCCGTAGCCGAGTGCTCTGAGGACCTGGAGGGCGCGTCCCCAGTCACGGTCAGGCTCAGAGGTCGGCACACTTTCTCTCTTAAAGGCCAAACAGTAAATGTTTCAGGCTTTGCGAGCCACTGGGGCCTGTTGCAAATCTTTTTTTTTTTTTTTTTAATAATCCTTTAAAAAGGTAAAAACAGAGAAGAAACACTCAATAACTTTCTTTTTTGATTTTTAGGCTTATTTATTTTGAGAGAGAGAGAGAGAGAGAGAGCGCGCGCAAAGGGGGGGGGGGAGAGAGAGGGAGAATCCCAAGCCTGCTCTGAGCTGTCAGCGCAGAGCCAATGTGGGGCTCAAACTCATGAACCGTGAGATCATGACCTGAGCAGAAACTAAGAATCGGACTTTAACCAAGTGAGCCGCCCCAGTACCCCAAATCACAATAATTTTCAAACTAAAAGGGGAAGTTCAGGGATAACGTTACTTTTCCACACCCAAATATTGATGTACCAAGGGGCAGAAAGGCCATGATTCTGGGGCTCCTAGGGGGCTCAGTTACCTGAGTGTCCGACTTCAGCTCAGGTCATGGTCTCACTGTTGTGGGTTCGAGCCCCGCCTCGGGCTCTGTGCTGACAGCTCAGAGCCTGGAGCTGCTTCAGCTTCTGTGTCTCCCTCTCTCTCTGCCCCTCCCCTGCTCGCTCTCTGTCTCAAAAATGAATAAACGTTAAGAAAAGTCAAGAGAAACAAAATCGTTGTGAAGTGAAGAAAGGTGGGGTCGTGGCCGGGCCGGGAAGTCGTGGGCGCTGTGGCATGCGGAACAGCGTGGGTCCCGGACGGACCGCTGGGCCTACCTTGCGTGGTGCCGGCCGTGCCAGGAAGCGCAGGCGCTGGCGGAGGGGCCCGGGGCCGCTGTCGCGTCGGGGCGGCCCTCGGCGAACTTGGTGGCATGCCAGGAGTGCGGCCTCCAGCTCAGCTCACCCTTCCTGCAAAAGAACGCGGACACCTCAGGGACCTCAGACACAGACGCGGCGCGCGGGCGGGAGCGCGACACGGACACCTGTCGCCGCTGCTTCGGCGCGACCCACAGCGCTGCTTCTGGGGCTTTCCGCGCATCTGCGTCTGAAACGTTGCTGATTTTCGTTAGTGCAGAACTCATCCTGCCGCAGCGCGGGAGTCACGGGCTCCAGCATGTGAACGAACCCTAATGCTTCAGTCTTTGCTCTACACAGGTGAATGTTTCCATTTTTCAGATTTTTCGCATTTCCCATTTTTGCTCGCCCCCGCCTCCAGGCGCACCTCGGTCGGGCTCTCCCGTCTTCCCAGCTGTGCGCACAGCCCTGCGCCTCCCTGAGGAAGAGCGAGGGCGCTAGAGAAAAGTGCGGGAGTCCCCAGCTCAGCGGACTCACGATTTAGACCACATTTTTTAAAGTTTATTCATTTATTTTGAATTTTTAAAAAATGTTTTATTTATTTCTGAGAGAGAAAGATAGAGACGGCGTGAGCAGGGAGGGTCAGAGAGAGGGAGACCAGAATCCAAAGCAGGCTCCGGGCTCTGAGCTGTCAGCACAGAGCCCGACGCGGGGCTCGAACCCACGAACTGTGAGATCATGACCTGAGCCAAAGTCGGACGCTTATCCCACTAAGCCATCCACGTACCTGCATCTGACTCTTGATTTTGGCTCAGGTCATGATCCCACAGTCATGAGCTCAAGCCCCACGTTGGTCTCTGCCCTGGGTGTGGAGCCTGCTTAACATTCTCTCTCTCCTGTGCCCTTCCCCTGCTCGTGTGTTCTAACACACACACTCTCTAAAAATAATAATTAAAAAAAAGAGTATTAAAGAAATCTGGAAAGTATTTATAACATAAACCTTCTGAACACTCATGGGGCACCTGAGGGGCTTAGAGGGTTAAGTGTTCAACTCCTGATTTTGGCTCAGGTCATGATCTCACAGTTCATGTATTCAAGCCATGCTGACAGTGTGGAGCCTGCTTGGGATTCTCTCTCTCCCCTCCCTCTCTCTGGCCGCCCCCCTCAAAAGTAAATACATAATCATAAAACCTTCTGACAACTCATAATTAAGGACAAAAAACAGATGGGTGGCAGAATGTGGAACGTGGCAGGAGTCCCCCCAGGAACAAGGGCAAAAAACCAGACAAATTCATCCCATCACAGAAGTACAGGGATTGCGAAACCAAACTGTACGTCACTGAGCTTCTCAAAATCCTTGTAAGGAAGGTTCTGGCCATGTGAATTTCAGGTTCAGGTGGCGTTTTCTGTGCTATCATATCCACAATGTCTTTCATCTTCCTTTATAGTTAATTAAGGAAGGAAATAAACTAGACTGAGGGTGGAGGCGAAGGAAACAAATAAAAAAGGAAACTTGGAAAAGAAAACACCTCCTACTTTGTGCAACGTCTTTCAACCCTGAACCTGGCAGGACTGGGGTATGTGCTGGCTTACTTGGGGGGGGGGGAAGAAGGGGGGACAGCAGCACTCCAGGATCACACGTATTCCCTTTTTTAAAGAGATAATACAGGGCACCTGGGTGGCTCAGTCGGTTCAGCGTCCAACCTTAGCTCAGGTCATGATCTCAAGGCTCATGAGTTTGAGCCCCGTGTCGGGCTCTGTGCTGACGGCTCGGAGCCTGGAGCCTGCTTTGGATTCTGTGTCTCCCTCTCTCTCTGCCCTCCCTTGTTCATGTTCTCTCTCTCTCTCTCTCTCTCTCTCTCAAAAAGAAGTAAACATTACAAAATAAAACGAAAAGATAATACATATAGAGGCACGTCTATTTCAAGAAGACACAGTTAACAACTACGGTATGAATTTTTTTAAAAAAAAGAACAAGTGATCACACAGTGAAAAGGATATACCGGGGCGCCTGGGTGGCTTAGTCGGTTGAGCGTCCGACTTTCGCTTAGGTCATGATCTCGCGGTTCATGGGTTCGGGCCCCGCGTCGGGCTCTGTGCTGCCAGCTCAGAGCCTGGAGCCTGTTTCAGTCTGTGACTCCCTCTCTCTCTGACCCTCCCCTGCTCAAGCTGTCTCTCTCTCTCTCTCCTAGAAATAAATAAAAATATTAAAAAAAAAAAAAAGGATATACCTATAAGCTACACATAAGGATACCCTGGCTATTGGGGACAGCGACGTTTTCCTAAAACAAATGAACTTTCGTCAGGTCCTTTGACCTAGTGCATAAGGAATGTATTTGGGAAGGTTCCGGCTACCTTCTGTGCTTCGGCCCCTCTGACTGCCTCAAATGGCTGGGTTCGTGTTGATAAGAGAGAGGAGGGTGTTCTGTACCAGAACGTGTTCATTCGATCACAACCCTATAAGGATGCTGGACAGGCGGGCTGTAGGGAAAGCGCTCTCTGGCGCCACCTAGTGGTCTCACACAGTCACTGTCCCTCTGACTGCTTCAAGGAGACCCAGATGCAACAGAAACGACAACAGATTTAAGGTCCTCATTTTCACAAGAGTGTGGGGTTTCTTCTCGAACAAGACACACACTCAGATGGCTTTAAGCCATCCAGCACCGCAAGTGGGGGGGCCCTGAGGAGTACACAGGCCACAGGATGTGCCAGGACAGGAGGGCACAAGATCCCAATGGGAGGACCTGGGTGAAACCACTATGCCATACTTGGCTCTTAGTCGCACCCACACTGGCCACCTAGCAGAGCTATGAGCATTAGAGGAGTAAACACAGTGCGCCCCTCATTCACACCCACCCTGGCCTCCTAGCAGAGCCATGAGCAGTAGAGATGAGCAGTAAACGTGGGGTGCCCAGGGGCCCAGTCAGTTAAGCATGTGACTCTTTTCTACTGCTCAGGTCATGATCTCACAGTTCAGGAGTTCAAGCCCCACATCGGGCTCTGCGCTGATGTTGCAGAGCCTGCTTGGGATTCTCCTTCTCCCTCTCTCTCTGCCCCTTTCCTCCTCCCCACCTCCTGTCTCTCACATACAAAGTAAATAAATAAATTTAAAAACATGTTTTAAATAATAAAATATAATGCAATCCCAATCAAAACTACACTGGCATTCTTCCCAAAGCTAGAACAAACAATCCTAAAATTTGTAGGGAACCACAAAAGACCCCGAATAGCCAGAGTAATATTGAAGAAGAAAACCAAAACGGGAGGCATCACAATCCCACACTTTAGCCTCTACTACAAAGCTGTAATCATCAAGACAGTATGGTACTGGCATAAAAAGATATATAGATCAATGGAACAGAATAGAGAACCCAGAACTGGACCCACAAATGTATGGCCAACTCATCTTAGACAAAGTGGGAAAGAGCATCCAATGGAAAAAAGACAGTCTCTTTAGCAGATGGTGCTGGGAGAGCTGGACAGCAACGTGCAAAAGAATGAAATTAGACCACTTTATTATACCATCCACAAAAATAAACTCAAAATGGATGAAAGACCTGAACGTGAGACAGGAAACCATCAAAACCCTGGAGGAGAAAGCAGGCAACAACCTCTTTGACCTCAGCCGCAGTAATTTTTTGCTCAACGCATCTGCAAAGGCAAGGGAAAGAGAAGCAAAAATGAACTACTGGGACCTCATCAAGATTAAAAGCTTCTGCACAGCAAAGGAAACAATCAACAAAACTAACAGGAACCGACGGAATGGGAGAAGATATTTGCAAATGACATTTTAGATAAAGGGTTAGTGTCTAAAATCTATAAAGAACTTACCAAACTCAACACCTGAAAAACAAATAATCCAGTGAAGAAATGGGCAGAAGATATGAACAGACACTTCTCCAAAGAGGACATCCAGATGGCCAACAGACACATGAAACGATGCTCAGCGTCCCTCCTCATCAGGGAAATACAGATCAAACCCACACCGAGATACCACCTCATGTTGGTCGGATGACAGACCTTCAGAAGCATGGGTTTTTGCCAACACCCCCACTAAGCATACACCCATCCACAAAACACATATGATTTCTGCCCCAGGAAGAGCTCCTGGGAGGGACGGGGGAGGAACAAAGTGTGTGATGTCCTGGTCTTCCCTGAAATCCTGCCGCGATGCTGCGCTAGCTGCTTCCAGGAACATCGGCGCTAACTGACGTCGGGGCCACGCAGAACCACCTGCTGGGGACAGCTCCAAGGAGCCAGGAGCAGAGGGGTGCCCGGCGACACCCAGGCGTGGTGCTGGGCTCACCGCTATTCATGGCATCCAGAAAACAAGGCATGCTGCAAGCAATGTGCTCCTAGCAAGCACATTTGTGGTCACTAGTTCAGAAAACCCTTTCTAGAAATGTCTAACTCAGCCCGTAGTCTGGCCAACCCTTTCAGCCTCCTGCAAAGAATGTCTACCGGTGGGTGTTAATCTGCTCCTGGATGCAAGCTTAGTGGATATGATTAGAGCCACAAAAGGGTTTGGAGGCAGGAAATCACAGGAACCAATCCTATCGATAATCTGGACCTGGCAGAACCACCTGCTACGCCAGACGGTGGTTCAAGGGGACCCTTAATGCGGAGGGGCAGGCGTGCTTCCTTGTAAACAAAATTATATATATTCCCATACAGAGTTGAAAAAGAGAGCCAGAGCAGTTGCAAGCTTTCCAAAATAATGGATGGCATGGCATTTAAAAGAAATTTTCCCGAGGATATTTGAAGTTATACGTACGTTTTAGAAGCTGGGCCGATGGTAAGTTGCCTGGGAAGAGAGAGAGACGGAGAACTGGGTCCCAGCGCTCTTCACGCAGTTTTCGTGCGCAGTGGATCGGATGGGACCGCAGCGGCCTTCATTAACCCCAGCTCTGAGCCAGATGCCCCCCTTCGCGACAGCCCCTGTGCATCGGGCAGCGCTGAGCACATCTCCGACAAACAAGGCTGATCTACTCCGCTACGAGGATCAGGGAAATGCTGTCCGTGACCCAGTTTTTGGTCTGAGCCTGTTGCGGGCACATCTCCTTGCGCGCGGTGGGCCCCCCGGGCCTGTCCAGCACCGCAGCCCTGGCTGGCGC